GAGGCTGAAGGTATTGGTTTAAGAAAAAATTTACCTATGAAAAAAATGCCCTTCTCCAGGTTAGGCACGCGAGGTTCTTTTGCACTACGTATAAGGTGGCAAGTTTATTTCGGCAGAGCTTTTGGTAAAACGGAGTCACAAAAGTAGCTATACTTGGCGTCAACTATTTTGTGCTGCATTATAAAGCCAGAGTAGATTCCACAGTGCGTGCTTCAGCAGAGCACTGTTTGTTGCGAGAGCATATGTGGTTTAGTGTTGCATCCCATTTGCATAATCTAGAGAAACTAGCGCTGACAGAGTTGGAGCACTCCAAATATTAACAGCCGACTGTAGAAGCATTGAGAGATGCACACATGCGAACTGTGCATTTCTTAAAGGTGGGTTCGAGCAAAGGTAAAAACAATATCTATACTTACGGCGGCCATACTTGCCTTTCCCAAGCACGACCACTTTTCCCTCGGTAGCACCATCCAGTAAGAAGCACCAGCAACACGCCCATGAGACGCCGCCGCCTCCTGGATTGAATGACGACCCGCCTGAGGTCTTGGAAGGAGATCCGGAACACTGCTTTAGGCCAGATGTTGTATCTGGTGGGGCAGAGACTAAAAGCAAAAATTAACAAATTTATCTGAAGCGCTACATTCCTATAGGACAGCAGTATTTTTTTAGGCCAGTGATTCGCTTTAATTAAACACAAATGGTTGGTTTATATGATGAACCATCAGCCCCTATTTTTCTTAAGTGTAACGCAGTGTCTAACGTTACGTCCGACGGAACCCGAAATAAAAATTAAAGTTACGCCCAACATAACTGTCAAGCATTCGAGTTACGTCCGACGTAACCCAAAATAAAAATTAAAGTTACCGTATTTACTCGAAAATAGGTCGAACTCTATTTGTTGGACCCACCGAGAATAAAAAAAACAATTCAAATATAGGTCGACTTTTTTTTATTTTTAAGAACAGGGGAAATTTTGGGCAAAAGAAAGAAACCTTTATTTACATCACTTCACAGCTTGGTAGACATCCTCGCAAATCCGCCACAATACTTCACTGACACCGTTGTAAAATGACGACAAGAAACGAAAGAAGGTGCGAAGCAACGAAAGACAAACTACAAAGACGCAAACAAAGCCGCCGTGTCGCCATGAGCAACACGCGAGCCGAGCCGCCTCAAGCAACTAACAAAAGTAACATCTTTTTTTTTTTTTTCTTTTTTTGTGCGCGTTTGCGAGGATGGAGGACAAAGTGCATGGCGCATCGCGTTCCTCTCCTTCCCCATTGCCCAGCAAGGGGAACGCTAGAGGTGCGATGGCGAAATCTAATGCCCCAAGAGGTGCGCGCGATAGCGGCACCAGCCACCGCTGTTGTTTTCGGTTGTTTAACAAAAGCTTTTGGAAACAAGAAGCGGCGCAGCTCTACGGCAACGCCGGCTCGGTGACTCGATAGCTTCATGCCTCCGGTACGGTCGCAAAATTTGGTCGCGAATGTAGGTCGAAATTCTTTAGTCACAATTTCCGGGAAAAAAAAAAAAAAAGAAAAGGTCGACATATATTTGAATAAACACGGTAGTCAGCTGCGCGACGAGACACACATTATGAAAGCGATTGGTGCGAGCGATCAAGGCGATGAGCGACGTTTTCTAGAAGCCCAGGAACCGAGCGGCGCAAGCAGCGAGAGTGAGAAATCTTCGTCGCTCGGCGCCGGCACTCGTACCTTCTCGTCGTCGCTCGTCTCGTTGATCGCTATATTGCTTACATGCTGTTCAGAAAGGTGCTCTAAGTGGTTACCATTGCATTGGGGCCAGCCTCGCATCCAACCGTAACCAGTCTTGACTTTTTTTTAAGCCGCCCAGGTAGAAGTTAACATCGTACATACATCGTTTTCAAGCATGGCTCCTCGTTCATTGCTCGATTTACTTTTTCGTAAATGACAAACCGCAATGAAGCACAATTATTCTAGTTCAAAATTGTCACGAACACTTGGCACGCATGCTTACACTGTAGCGCACCTAACGTAATTTAAAAGTAGAACGAAAACGGGGCGAGATTCGCTTACCGCTTCACGGAAACAGAGTCCTTCGGATCCTAGGCCTAACGGCCGAAATCGGAAGTCGCCTGCGGTCCGGCGATCGGACGAGTTGAGCCGGCCGCGCTGTGCTGACCCCGGCTGACCACGCCTGGTTGAACCATGAGAGGCGTCGTCGAGTTGAGAGCCAGAGACGCAGTAGAAACGGACCGTAAAACATCTGTCCCGCAAAACGCAGGAGCCAGCGCCAAAACCGCTACGTCTGGCTGCGTCGCCATGTCCGCGACGACCGGAAGCGTGTAAACCGGGACTGGCCGGGAAGTTAGAAAAGGCGCGGCAGCGGAAGCCACTGGGCGGAAGCTTTACGTTTCGGTTTCGCTTTTCTCCGACATCGGCCACGGTCGCGGGCTGGTATGTTTGCGGCTGGTTGCGACGACGCGAGGGGCCACGAAAAGACGCCGAGTTGGCCGAGTACGAGTCACGGCCCACGATACGAGCAACGGGCCATTTGCCCCTGTCGACCGGCGATGCGGTATCCGCGGCTTAGTGTCACGATCGGTTTGTTGCCGTGCACGTTGACTCAAAGCTCGAAGTTATGCAGTTCCGTCAGTTCCGTTCCGGCACCACCCGCACCACGTTTTCCGGTGCATCGCACGTGGAGGCCTTTCGACGCATTCAGTGAACGTAAAGATCGCGCCCGCTGTCTTCGGTGCTGTGGAAGAAGTTGGGAGACGGAAGAAGCATCAAAACCAAGGCGTTTAGGACTCCAGTCCGGGCCGCCGGTCCACTCTGAACGAGAGGCGACGTGTGTGTGCACGCTTTGAGGAAGCCTCCACGTTTCGCCGCGCCAGACCTCGCCGATCGCGACCAGACCCCGAGTCCGAGAAGCTCTTGCGCAGCCAGGAACGGCAGCGAGGTAGGAGCTGCTCGTTCTGCGCAACCATGCAGTGCTCTACAGTGCTCGGAGCTCTCGGTGTCATGCGTGCTTGCACCGAAGCCTTTGTGACCCCTTCGGACGCTCAAGTCGTACTTCGCAAAGGTTTGGACGGGGCCGCCCTCACCGAGCAGCTCCACTAAATTCCGCTTACTTATGATCGCAATAAAAGCTTGCGTTTGTTCTCGGGAAAAAAATTGCGGGACCGCTCTCCGCGCCGCCGACGAGGTTGGCCGCCACCATGTTCTCAGCTGTTCACTCGCTCCCGCAGCGAGCGCCTTCCGATAATCCTCCCCGTTCCAAAATGCGATGCGATCTTCGTTTACATGGGCTGAATGAATGCGCACTCGCCATCTCGATCCACCTCTGTCTAGCGACTTTAATGCGATGCGCTTTGCGCATTATGCCGTTTCATGACCGCACATTGAATGCGGCAACTGGATTCAATGCGACTAAGTCGCATTCATGTAAACGCGGCTTATGGTATTTTTCGACATGTATGATCTATGTAACGATACCGGTGGTAAACGATGGACGTTTTTGTTGGAAGATGGCGGTCGTCTTTCTGCATGTATGGTTTAGTTATACCGGTGGTCTTGTGGTATAGGCGTTTCTTTGGAAAGATGGCGGTCGCCTACGTCATCGGACGCAAAATCATACCAGCCATACCGAGTCATATCGGCGAGCAAACCGGCTGCCAGTATAGACAGACCCGGAGCCATAGCGGTGCCGGTATCTCCAGTTATGGAGAACGCAAAACCAAACTAGCTGCATGTATAATAACAATAAATTATGGTGGTGTCATACCAGGACTGTACAAGCAGCAGGTTTGTTTCTTGTACGTTTTTCCAATAGGGAAAGAAGAGTCCATATAAAATTTTTCTGCAATAGAGAGCTATACTTGACAAGTCTAGAATTGGAAGAAAGGTACCGCCAGGATATCACAGTCAGTCGATCATATATAGAAGTCGCAGTTTTATTAAAAAAACGGTCACGTCTCGCTTTGGAGGAATGCTTTGCCCTTAGCAGAAAGGTGCGCTGCAGCTAAGCAACACAAGCAAAATAACGATGTCAACTCCGTGGTTGCCGCTTCACAGCAGTACACCAATTTTTGGTGAGAATGCACTCAACGAAGCTAACTAACCTGCCAGAACAGAACACAAACATAAGAATTATTGAGGAACTTCAGTACTGCGAGGGCTTGATGCAAAATCGGATCAAATAGTGTGTTTTTCACGTGATAATCTAAAGTTCTAAAAACTCACATTCTTATAGCAGCAATGGGCCAATTTGCAAGGCCTCATATATTATATTTTCAGCATCACTTTTTGAAGTCAAGTTTGGCCGCAACGTTGGCACGAATTCCTTACATTTTGGTAAAATGCAGCAAGATGTAGCAGGTTACGCACTTTGGCGCAGTTTGGCCCAAATAGCGCAGCAATCACATCACTGTTCACTACAAAATGGTGCTTATTGATGGGGGCCAACTGATCCCCTTCAAACAATAGCAAAAACGTGAGCACAACCAAGACTACATCGAAGTGCGACCCTATGGTTCAATGGGACTTGTAGCCAGGGGGGCTATGTTGCGCTTTTTGCACTCCCAGGAGACCAGGGAGAGGGAAGTGACGTCAACAACACAGCGAATGCAGATTGGATGTTGATTTTGTTTTCTTCTGTCAACATCCAATCTGCATTTGCTCTAGTCGTTGACGTCACTTCCCTCTTCCAAGTCTCCTGGGAGTGTAAAAAGCGCAACATAGCCCCCCAGCAACCACGCTTGGGGATATAAAACTCGTACAACTTTTGCTCATGCAGCTTCTTGTCGTATTTGAAACAAGTGTTTCAATCGCTCAGTAAGCAGGCAGTATTCCGAAATGTGCCCGTTCTTTCTTTATCAACCACCGTCGGCTGGCATGTCCAAACAAGCTGCAGTGACAACAAACTCCTAGTCATCGCTGATTCCGACTTTCCGTCAGATAAGGTGCTTTCGGGGTTTCCTTTGATTATGCTAAGAAGAAAATGAATATTAAACTTACTTTTCGATACGTGCCACACATCAAAGTAGTGAAGAACTTCAGGCTCCACCTCCCTCATGTGCTTCGCTATTGAGCGGTGTCGGTCAGTTGTCAAAGAGCGCACCTTGATGTCCTTGGTCTTCAGGAATTCCAGACAGCGAATAAGTCCCTGCTTCTCCATCTGGACACTGGCCCGTACTTCCTCACACTGCATAAGGTACACAAATGCCCGAATTCTACCCTGAATCATGTCTTCTCAAACTAGATACCCAAAAACTTAATGGTTCCACAAACTTCCACGTTTTCTTGTCATGCCGTTTAAAATATGAGACTGTAGTGCAGAAAAGGAAAAACTTTTAGTCGAAGTGACAAACCTGTATCTGTTACTTCGGCTAAAAGTTTTTCCTTTTCTGTAGCATATAGTATCAGGTGTTGCTACATGATTAGCTACCACCAGCTTGCCTGTACACTCAGTCTTTACATTTTCTTGGTTGTTCCAGCCTCCAAGTATAGCTTTTCTTCCAATCTAGCAGTTATTTCAGTAGATCTGAACCAGACGTAAATACAGAGCCATGAAGTGCTCCCTAGTTTGGGCACTATTTACCAAGTTCGCAGGTTTTTGCATCACTTTATTCTATCACTTCTGAGACTGTGGAGTGGGTTCCTTGGCTGTTAGCTACATATGCTTAGCGCCTTATAATTCTGACAGGGGAAACAGCCCTATTGGAAAAACGTACAAGAAACAAACCTGCTGCTTGTACAGTCCTGGTATGACACCACCATAATTTATTGTTATTATACATGCAGCTAGTTTGGTTTTGCGTTCTCCATAACTGGAGATACCGGCACCGCTCTGGCTCCGGGTCTGTCTATACTGGCAGCCGGTTTGCTCGCCGATATGACTCGGTATGGCTGGTATGATTTTGCGTCCGATGACGTAGGCGACCGCCATCTTTCCAACGAAACGCCTCTACCACAAGACCACCGGTATAACTAAACCATACATGCAGAAAGACGACCGCCATCTTCCAACAAAAACGTCCATCGTTTACCACCGGTATCGTTACATACATCATACATGTCGAAAAATACCATAAGCCGCGTTTACATGAATGCGACTTAGTCGCATTGAATCCAGTTGCCGCATTCAATATGCGGTCATGTAAACGGCATAATACGCAAAGCGCATGGCATTAAAGTCGCTAGACAGAGGTGGATCGAGATGGCGAGTGCGCATTCATTCAGCCCATGTAAACGAAGATCGCATCGCATTTTGGAACGGGGAGGATTATCGGAAGGCGCTCGCTGCGGGAGCGAGTGAACAGCTGAGAACATGGTGGCGGCCAACCTCGTCGGCGGCGCGGAGAGCGGTCCCGCAATTTTTTTCCCGAGAACAAACGCAAGCTTTTATTGCGATCATAAGTAAGCGGAATTTAGCGGAGCTGCTCGGTGAGGGCGGCCCCGTCCAAACCTTTGCGAAGTACGACTTGCGCGTCCGAAGGGGTCACAAAGGCTTCGGAGCAAGCACGCATGACAACGAGAGCTCCGAGCACTGTAGAGCACTGCATGGTTGCGCAGAACGAGCAGCTCCTACCTCGCTGCCGTTCCTGGCTGCGCAAGAGCCTCTCGGACTCGGGGTCTGGTCGCGATCGGCGAATTCTGGCGCGGCGAAACGTGGAGGCTTCCTCAAAGCGTGCACACACACGTCGCCTCTCGTTCAGAGTGGACCGGCGGCCCGGACTGGAGTCCTAAACGCCTTGGTTTTGATGCTTCTTCCGTCTCCCAACTTCTTCCACAGCACCGAAGACAGCGGGCGCGATCTTTACGTTCACTGAATGCGTCGAAAGGCCTCCACGTGCGATGCACCGGAAAACGTGGTGCGGCTGGTGCCGGAACGGAACTGACGGAACTGCATAACTTCGAGCTTTGAGTCAACGTGCACGGCAACAAACCGATCGTGACACTAAGCCGCGGATACCGCATCGCCGGTCGACAGGGGCAAATGGCCCGTTGCTCGTATCGTGGGCCGTGACTCGTACTCGGCCAACTCGGCGTCTTTTCGTGGCCCCTCGCGTCGTCGCAACCAGCCGCAAACATACCAGCCCGCGACCGTGGCCGATGTCGGAGAAAAGCGAAACCGAAACGTAAAGCTTCCGCCCAGTGGCTTCCGCTGCCGCGCCTTTTCTAACTTCCCGGCCAGTCCCGGTTTACACGCTTCCGGTCGTCGCGGAGATGGCGACGCAGCCAGACGTAGCGGTTTTGGCGCTGGCTCCTGCGTTTTACGGGACAGATGTTTTACGGTCCGTTTCTACTGCGTCTCTGGCTCTCAACTCGACGACGCCTCTCATGGTTCAACCAGGCGTGGTCAGCCGGGGTCAGCACAGCGCGGCCGGCTCAACTCGTCCGATCGCCGGACCGCAGGCGACTTCCGATTTCGGCCGTTAGGCCTAGGATCCGAAGGACTCTGTGTCCGTGAAGCGGTAAGCGAATCTCGCCCCGTTTTCGTTCTACTTTTAAATTACGTTAGGTGCGCTACAGTGTAAGCATGCGTGCCAAGTGTTCGTGACAATTTTGAACTAGAATAATTGTGCTTCATTGCGGTTTGTCATTTACGAAAAAGTAAATCGAGCAATGAACGAGGAGCCATGCTTGAAAACGATGTATGTACGATGTTAACTTCTACCTGGGCGGCTTAAAAAAAAGTCAAAATGGTTACGGTTGGATGCGAGGCTGGTCCCAATGCAATGGTAACCACTTAGAGCACCTTTCTGAACAGCATGTAAGCAATATAGCGATCAACGAGACGAGCGACGACGAGAAGCTACGAGTGCCGGCGCCGAGCGACGAAGATTTCTCACACTCGCTGCTTGCGCCGCTCGGTTCCTGGGCTTCTAGAAAACGTCGCTCATCGCCTTGATCGCTCGCACCAATCGCTTTCATAATGTGTGTCTCGTCGCGCAGCTGACTACCGTGTTTATTCAAATATATGTCGACCTTTTTCTTTTTTTTTTTTTTTCGGAAATCGTGACTAAAGAATTTTGACCTACATTCGCGACCAAATTTTGCGACCGTACCGGAGGCATGAAGCTATCGAGTCACCGAGCCGGCGTTGTAGAGCTGCGCCGCTTCTTGTTTCCAAAAGCTTTTGTTAAACAACCGAAAACAACAGCGGTGGCTGGTGCCGCTATCGCGCGCACCTCTTGGGGCATTGGATTTCGCCATCGCACCTCTAGCGTTCCCCTTGTTGGGCAATGGGGAAGGAGAGGAACGCGATGCGCCATGCACTTTGTCCTCCATCCTCGCAAACGCGCACAAAAAAAGAAAAAAAAAAAAAGATGTTACTTTTGTTAGTTGCTTGAGGCGGCGCGGCTCGCGTGTTGCTCATGGCGACACGGCGGCTTTGTTTGCGTCTTTGTAGTTTGTCTTTCGTTGCTTCGCTCCTTCTTTCGTTTCTTGTCGTCATTTTACAACGGTGTCAGTGAAGTATTGTGGCGGATTTGCGAGGATGTCTACCAAGCTGTGAAGTGATGTAAATAAAGGTTTCTTTCTTTTGCCCAAAATTTCCCCTGTTCTTAAAAATAAAAAAAAGTCGACCTATATTTGAATTGTTTTTTTTATTCTCAGTGGGTCCAACAAATAGAGTTCGACCTATTTTCGAGTAAATACGGTAACTTTAATTTTTATTTTGGGTTACGTCGGACGTAACTCGAATGCTTGACAGTTACGTTGGGCGTAACTTTAATTTTTATTTCGGGTTCCGTCGGACGTAACGTTAGACACTGCGTTACACTTAAGAAAAATAGGGGCTGATGGTTCATCATATAAACCAACCATTTGTGTTTAATTAAAGCGAATCACTGGCCTAAAAAAATACTGCTGTCCTATAGGAATGTAGCGCTTCAGATAAATTCGTTAATTTTTGCTTTTAGTCTCTGCCCCACCAGATACAACATCTGGCCTAAAGCAGTGTTCCGGATCTCCTTCCAAGACCTCAGGCGGGTCGTCATTCAATCCAGGAGGCGGCGGCGTCTCATGGGCGTGTTGCTGGTGCTTCTTACTGGATGGTGCTACCGAGGGAAAAGTGGTCGTGCTTGGGAAAGGCAAGTATGGCCGCCGTAAGTATAGATATTGTTTTTACCTTTGCTCGAACCCACCTTTAAGAAATGCACAGTTCGCATGTGTGCATCTCTCAATGCTTCTACAGTCGGCTGTTAATATTTGGAGTGCTCCAACTCTGTCAGCGCTAGTTTCTCTAGATTATGCAAATGGGATGCAACACTAAACCACATATGCTCTCGCAACAAACAGTGCTCTGCTGAAGCACGCACTGTGGAATCTACTCTGGCTTTATAATGCAGCACAAAATAGTTGACGCCAAGTATAGCTACTTTTGTGACTCCGTTTTACCAAAAGCTCTGCCGAAATAAACTTGCCACCTTATACGTAGTGCAAAAGAACCTCGCGTGCCTAACCTGGAGAAGGGCATTTTTTTCATAGGTAAATTTTTTCTTAAACCAATACCTTCAGCCTCCTTGAAATGTTAACATCATGTGACACTCAGAAGAACAGTAAACCCCTTAATGTTGGCGAACCTTTAATTTTCGCGGCCTTTAATTTGGCGGAATTCAGTGGCTGCGATTATGTCCTCTGTGACCGATTCGAGAAGAAATAGGGGCTACCAAGATAAGGGGGTTTTACTGTCCATCGGAGGAGAGAGGAAGTCACCTTTGTTTGTATGCAAGAGTAAAACCAACAACAACAATCATGGTGCCGACACTTTGTGAGCCTATCTGTGTCTATTGAATTATATCAATTTTGTTTTTGTTCGTTAAAAATTGTTGCCTGTCCACTGTGGGATGTCGTCTTCAACACGAGCAGTGGTTTTCCTCTGAAGCAGGCAGCATGGACGCGTGCCGCAGCACAACATAGTTTATTTGCAGGTGGTACCGCAGTTTGAAGGATGGTTCGCACAATATGGGGGAATCGCAACTCAATGTTCTACCTCGGGCGTAGACAAGATTTGCTCATTCTAAATCATTTTGTCTACAAATCGGGAACTTGCAACGAATGTACCCGCATGGTTGGAAGGGCCAGACAAGCCTTGCGAGCGCTTCGTTTTCTAGCCTCTCAGTCCTGAACCTACTCACGCACCACATGTGTAGATGTTCCGGTACGTGGGAGCACTTATTTGGAAAATGGTGAATGGCA